TGCCTCTGTAAAATGAAAGAAGCCTGAAATTTTGAGAATTCATGTTTCCCCAGTTCAGAACATCCTGCAAAGCCACATAAGTGAATATGGTTCTGTACTGGCATAAGGATAGACATATAAAGCAATGGAAGAGAACTGTGAGAACAGAAACAAACTTAAAATCTAAAGTAAATAATTTTGATCAGTATGGGACAACTTGATTCCCACATACAAAACCATAAAGTCACACTCCTGCATCACAATACATACAAGTGTTAACTCAAAATGGATCAAAGACATAATTATTAGATCTGAGTCCATAAAAACATCAGAATAAAATATAAATAAATGTTTACGACCTTAGATGCAGCACCAAATTCTCAGATCAGACATCAAAAGATAAAGGGAAACATAAATTGGGCTTCACAAAATTTTAAGAAAGTACGGTTAAGGAATATTACCAAGACAGTGATAATGTGACATAGCAGGTAAAGCCGCTGCCTGCAATGCTGGCATCCAGTAGGAGTTCTGGTTCATGTCCAGGCTGCACTAATGGCTTGGGAGAAGTGCTGGGCCTCTGCCACACACATGAGAGGCCTGGAAGGCAATCCTCGCTCCTGGCCTTGGCCTGACCCAGTCCTGGCTGTTGCAGCCATCTGGGGAGTGAACCAGTGGATGGAAGATTCTCTCTAACTCTTTCAAATAAATAAATATTTAAAAAGAAAGTGAAAAGACAAACTATATAGAGAAAACATTTGCGAATAACACATCTGATAAAGATATAATCCAAAATATACAAAGAACATCTATAACTCAGAAACAACAACAAAATATAATCTAATTTAAAAATGGGCAAATGGGGAAGCAAGTTAAGGTGGTAGTGGGATAAGAATCTCCAGTAATGATTTCCCCATAGAAACAATGATTTTAAGAGCTATTCATGCATTAAACTAACTTTATAATATTTAAGGAAACAAGGTGAGAGATTACAATTTTTGGTTTTAGCACAATAATAAGATGCATTGGACAAGGAATGAAAAAAAAAAAAATCAGTGTGGCCTACATCTCTACTCCCTCCAACTCCAAGCCATGTAGCAAGTAAAAAGATGCTTCCTGGCTAGCGGGAGGGATGAATGAATTAAATCCAGGCCTTATACTTGCAACACAGTACCAGACCCAGTATGTTGAACCTAGTACTGGGCAGAATCCTCACAATTCTGAGTTCCTGGATCCACATAGCCTGGTATCCAAGCAACTGCCTCCCTCACTTTTTCCCAATCTCAGGCAGCACAGAGAAAGACTCCATAGTTCTGGGGGTACCTTAGGGAAGTAGAAATAGGACATTGTCTTGGAATCCAACGTTATACTGGTGAAATCCCAAAACCATGGGAATCCAGTGGCCCTTGTCCCCAGTAACTAGGGAAAGAGGCTCTGGGCCCACCACAGTGCAGGCAGAGACCAACAGCCCAAATCAAATGGACCTGTATTTTGGACAGCATCATGTGTGTGTGGCTGCAGTGGTCATGGGCAATGATTACACCAAAGTAACAAGTAAGCCATAAAAGTACTGACCTTGGTCCTCTCTTTGAGGTACATAGGTCTAAGTGGCATATGGACTTGAGGTGCAATCCAGCATTTTGTCATTGGTGACCATGGGGCTTCCAACCACATCCTCACCTAACCCCAGGCTGAACACAGAGACCCAATGATAAAAACCCAAAGATTCAATTTAAAAATAGACAAGATACCTGAGTAGACTTTCCACAAAAGAAGATATACATGTGACCATCAGGTATATAAAAAATATTCCATATTACTAATCATCAGGAAATGCAAATCAAAATGACAAAGAAATATCAACCTATTCCAGTTAGAATGGCAATTATCAAAGTGATGAGAATATGTGATAAAAAAGGAATCTTTGCAAAATGTTGGCAAAATGTAGATTAGTAGAGCCATTATGTAGAACAGCATCAATGTTCCAAAAATACTAAAACTAGGTCTACCAGGTGACACAGTTATACCAATTTTAGGCATGTACCCAAAGGAAATTAAATAATTATGCTAAAAAGACATCTTCTGGGGTTGGCTTTGTGGCACAGTAGGTTAAACCACTGCCACAGCACTGGTATCTCGTATAGTTGCCAGTTCGACTTAACAGCTGCTCAACTTCTGACCCAACTCCCTGCTGATGTGCCTCTGAAGGCAATGGAGGATAGCCTAAGCTCTTGGGCCTCTGCACCCATGTGGGATACCAGGGTGAAGCTCCCAGCTCCTAGCTTCAGCCTGGTCCAGCCCTGTCCAACCTGGTTGATGCAGCCATTTGGGGAGTGGGCCAGTAGACGGAAGTGCTCTTGCCCGCTCTCTCTGAGTCTTTCAAACATATAAATTATTTTAAAAAGACATCCCTAACTAACATGTTTAATGCAGCATCATTCACCATATCCAAGAAATGGATATAATCTATGTTTCCATCTATAATAGATGAATAAAGAAAATATGTTATAAATAATTAATGGCATGTTTTTCAACTATTACAAAGGATAAAACCCTATCATTGTGACAAAACTGACAGAACAGAGTTCATAATACTAAATGGAATAAGCAAGACACAGAAAGAAACACCATAGTTGAGCACTTGGTATGCAGTTAAGATGCACTTGAGATGACCATATTCCATATTAGATTGCATGGGTTCAAGTCCTGCCTCTGGTTCTCATTCCAGATCCCTGCTAATTCTGACTCAGGGAAACAATTCCTCGTGTAATTGAGTTCCCTCCACTCAGGTGGAAACTGAATTCCCAGCTCCTAGCTTCAGCCTGGCCCAAAACTAGCTGTGCAGGCATTTGGGAAGTGAATCAGAGAATGGGAGCTCTCCCCTGTCTGCCTGTCTTTCTGTCTCTCTCCTTATGTCTTTCAAGTTAAGTATTTTTTAAAAGAAAGACAAATACAGCATACTCTTACTAATATATGGAGTCATAAATTGTTGATCTGTTAGAGGCTGAGATAGCAACAGAGGTAACAGGGGACTGAAGAGGGTGGTGGGGAGGGAGTAAGATTGGTCAATGGATTTAATTCAAATGAGGTAACAGGAAAAAGTTTCAGTGTTCTATTGTACAGCAGTTCGACTATGGATAACAATTATATACTGTGCATATCAAAAAAGATGGATTTTGAATTATTTTCTAACATTTATTTGAAAGTGAGAATTAGAGGCGGGGGAAGAGCGAGGTCTCTGAACTGCAGGTCACCAAGTGGCCATGATGGCAAGGGCTGGGCTAGGCCTGGACCAGGCTGAAGCCAGGGGCCAGGAGCTTCACCTGGGCTCCCCAGGTGGGTGGCAGGGGCCCAAGCACTTGGGCCATCTTCTGCTGCTTTTCCCAGGCCATTAGCTGGGAACTGGATCAGAAGTGGAACAGTTGGAAATAAACTGGGGTCCGTATGGCATGCCAGTGTCACAATGTTGGTCCTAAGATTTTGAAAATTTTCACCATAAAAATGATTAATGTTGAGGAGTTATAGATCTTTATCTTGATTTGAACAGTGCACAACATATACATACTACAAAACATAGTACACCTAAATATGTACAATTTTAATTTATCAATTAACTTAAAATTACCCCTAAAATGGGCAAAGGATTTAGACATTTCTCCATAGAAGACTCATGCAAATGACTGCTCAATATGTGAAAAGTAAAGATGTTAACATAGTTAGGAATGTACATGTGTTTTCTAACCCTGTTAATCTTTATTACATGGAGGCAATTTTGTCGAACTAGGAAGTAATTAGAGATTACCTGGATCTGGTTAGAGAGGACGTGAAAATTATTGCTTTATGTGGTTTTTTGGGGGGTGAGAAAATAAGTATAGTAGTGATCACATAACACCATAAATATAAATAATGCCACTGAATTGTATACTTTAGCATAGTTAGAATGGTGCATTTTATCTTATATATATTTTACAACAATTAAAAGTTTTTAAGTCAGTTGATTAAATTCAACTCAACTGCTGGTTAAAATTCACTAAAATCTGAGTAAAAGAAAACATTCTGGGGGCTGGCACCGTGGCTCACTTGGTTAATTCTCTGCCTGCACGCGCCAGCATCCATATGGATGCCGGGTTCTAGTCTTGGTAGCTCCTCTTCCAGTCTGGCTCTCTGCTGTGGCCTGGGAGGGCAGTGGAGGATGACCCAAGTGCTTGGGTCCCTGCACCTGCCTGGGAGACCAGGAGGAAGCTCCTGGCTCCTGGCTTTGGATCGGCGTAGCACCGGCCATAGTGGCCATTTGGGGAGTGAACCAATGGAAGGAAGACCTTTCTCTCTTTCTCTTTCTCTTTCTCTTTCTCTCTTTCTCTTTCTCTTTCTCTTTCTCTTTCTCTTTCTCTCTCTCTCTCTCTCTCCTCTCTCTCTCTCTCTCAATGTCTATAACTCTACCTGTCAAATAAAAAAAATATTCTGATCATAACAAGAAATATTTATCTCAGGTAGCCAATCATCACAAGTAACATGAGAGAAGCATTCCCATTTCAAAGAACGATAGAACAGTGATGCTCCTGACCCTACACCACAAGTATTACATTTCATCTTGAACATTCATATAGTCCAATAAAATACAGGTTTGATATTAAAATCATTTATCATAGAAATAATAAATTTTTTTGCTTTTAAACATATAACACTTAAAGAATCTAGAAAAAATTATTCATATAAATAATCTTTTTCCTGACATGCCCAGATGCATTTTTGGTATAATATTAAGAATTTACTATGCCAAATACTATTATTTCATTGAGTTATCATTTCTCTTTGACACAGATAAAATTTAAGCAGACTCTCTGAATAACAGTGAGAACTCACCAAATTAATTTTATGTAATTGTCAGTATACTATCTTCTCTGATGACCACCTAAGAAGTTACTTATATACACAATAATGCTCTCCCTTAATTTGTTTATAATTATACAGAGGGAACGCATAATTATTCACATTTCATCTAATACAACAGAAAATCTTTTTACCTTGAGATTCTTTTGCTGCTTGGTCAATTTCATTTTCAGCCTTCTTTCCTAATTCCTCTTCTGAAATATCAACCTTAATAACAAAAGTTTTAATAAGTAATTATAAATTATATATCTCAACTCATTATTTAATTGCCTTCTTTTAGATAGAGTGCTAGCTTTTACTCTCATCCATGATGTTACTACAGAATCGTTTCCTTACAATATAAATTAAAAAGTGAGAACAATTAATGGATCTGAGAGGCATTGAAGGAGATAAGGTAATTTTGTGACTTTGCTTAGTAAATAGCTATTAAAAATATTATTAAGGGGCCATCAAAGGATGTACTTTTCTCTGAAGGGAGAACTAAATACTGATGGAGCTTGTGATCACAAAAGGCTTCCATAGCCTTGGCAGCTCATGGCAAGAGCCCCGGGTGATCACTGACATTATAAATAAGAGTGTTAATTGTTAAATTAACAGCAGAAGTCACTGTGTACTTACTTCCCATGTAGGACTTCTGTCCTTAATGGGGTATAATATGAGAATCAACTGCAAAACTTGCTCTCAAACAGTACTTTTCATGTTGTGTGGGGAGGCACAAACTGGTGAAATCTACTTAGTATACAGTTGGTCTTCTGTATATAAAGTTAATTAAAAATGAATCTTGATGAAGAATGGGATGGGAGAGGGAGTAGGGGGTGGGATGGGAGTAGGGATGGGAAGGTGGGTATGGGGGGGGGGGACCACTATATTCCTAAAGTTGCACTTTTGAAATTTGTATTCATTAAATAAAAGCTTTAAAAAAATCTTATTAACAATTGTATTTTAGCCTGCCTCAATCTTTACACAAATTCCAATGGCTTGCACAAAATTATTTTTATGGGGACACTACAACAATATCTATGATAAAAATATATTGAGGATATTTGGGGAGTATTCAAAAAGTCTATGGAAACACATCCAAAAATCTATGTACAGATTTCAAAATTTTTGCAGCAAAATAAAGTTAACTTCTAGTTGCATTTGCCACAAACACTTGAAGGCCCCTTGTTTATCAGGTATGCACAGTCTTTCATCTTTTCCTCAGCATTTTGTCCTAGTAATCCCTAATTACTTTTTTAAACAGAAGCAACTCTGATATTTTGTCAGCATATTTCAGAAAGCGCATGAAAAATGGAACTAAAGTTGCTTACTTTGATGTAAATCAACCTTGAAATCTATACCAAAAAGAGTCCTTCATAGAGTTAATGAAAAATGCATATTGTAGAGAAACAAAGATTTCATTGTTTTTGGTACAAAAATAAACATCTTTTTAATTCCATTTTCCATAGACTTTTTGAAGCATCTTATAAGCTTTGTTTGAAGACACACCAGTTCAAAATAACGCTTTTACAATCAGCTTATTGCATAAAAATCATCTTCTAGATTTTTAAAATGAAAGCTATGAAAATTTCCCTTGTTTCAAAATTTATATACTTTTTACTATTGAAATTGTAATCTAAGCCACAACTTTTTTGTCAAAACCAAGTAGAATGTTTATATTAAAAATAACAGATTCTGAAATGTTACTAAAACATCCCAGATACAAAACAGGTAATGTTAAAAACACACACTTTTTATTCCCTGAAATAAAAAATATTGACAAATTTCTAATTAGTATTTTCTTAATATATTTTAAAAATATAATAATTCTAAACAAACATACATCATACCTTTGAGTCTCCTTTGCTAGGAACAGGGGGTTCTGTGAACGACAACTTTGTTCTTTTGCTCCAAGGAGGCAACGCTTCCATAGACAGCAGCCCCTCAGATTCTCTGGATTCTCTGCTGGGGAACAGGGTGGCGTTTTTATCAGCTTCGAGTTTGCTGGGGCTTTCCAACTGGACAGACCCTTTGGGAGAGTCCTGGAACTGTGACACATCTGAAAAGACGGAGTCAGCCCTTTCCTTCTCTAAGCTTTAGCGAGAGCATAGGGTTAGAGTAGGTGAGGAATTTTCATTAGTAACTGAAGAAGCATTTTCAGAATCCAAATAGATATTAAGTGAGCAATTATTAATCATGATATAAACATGACACTGATGTTAGACAACAAGCTAGACAGTAATATAATCTCTGGAATTTAAAATATACACATAGAATTAAATAACCCATCAAAAATATCCAACACAATAGTTACTCAAGGTCAGCCCAGGCCAAAGACCAAGAAAGACATGGTTAACCAAAGTAGGGCACAGGATGGTCTGGATGTTGCCTTTTAGCCAAAATTATTTTTCCACAATTTCATTTCAGAATGAAAATGAGAACATGTATATTGCAGGGGTTTTTTTGACAGGCAGAGTTAGACAGTGAGGGAGACACAGAGAGAAAGGTCTTCCTTCCGTTGGTTCACCCCCCTAAATGGCGGCTATGGCCGGCGTGTGGTGCCCATCTGAAGCCAGGAGCCAGGTGCTTCTTCCTGGTCTCCCATGCGTATGCAGGGCCCAAGGACTTGGACCATCCTCCACTGACTTCCCGGGCCACAGAAGAGAGCTGGCTTGGAAGAGAGGCAACCGGAACAGAATCCAGCGCCCAGACCGGGACTAGAACCTGGGGTGCCGACGCTGCAGTCAGAGGATTAGCCTAGTGAGCCACGGCGCCGGCCATATTGCAGTTTCAACATTGAAAGGTCACTGTCTGTCAGAGTTAACTCCAAGCTCGCAGTTGACTGTTTTTCAGGAAAGAGGTATTTGTGGTCTGTCAGGTTGGCACAGGGTCTGCCTTCTAGGATCCAGAACCCAGGTGGTTGTGGGTCACTATGTTCCTGCACAATCCCACCTGGTGTTTGTTGTCCCTACATTCTAGTTTAGACAATGATTTAAATAGTCAAAAGCTCTCCCAGTCCTATTATACACAACAGAGTTTGATGGTTTCTCATTTTTAAATACCTACAACTATCTAAGGTGTACTGCAAAGTGCCTAGAATAATTCAAACTTTGGTATCACAGAAGCAAAAATTTTAAATGTACTTTAACGTATCATATATTTCTAGTTTAGAATGTTTTTCATATATGAGTTTGTGTCATAAAAAAAGAGAAGTGAATTAGGGAAGACATTCCTGAGAAGTGAAGTGTCAGGTGGATGGTGGTCTAAGAAATATATTTTGTAATAACCAGAGCTCTGTAAGGGCATTGTAAACCACTTCCATGGGTGTGCACTTGGTGCAGCAGTTAAGATGCCTCTTGCGATGCCACATCTCAGGCTGAAGTGCCTGGGTCCGCATCCAGCTCTGCTTCTATTCTGGCTTCCTGCTAATGCACACCTTGGGAGGCAACAAGTCCTCGAGTTCTTGAGTCTCTGCCACCAATGTGGGAGACATGATCTGAGCTCCTATTTCTTGGCTTTGACCTGGCTCAGCCCTGTCTGGTTGCAAGTATTTGGGAAGTGAACCAGTGGATGGGAAATCTGTCTGTATCTGTATCTCTGTCTCTGTCTCTCTGGCTTTCAAATAAAATGAAAACTAATAAAATGCTTTCAAGATCAGATGTTAGCACTACAGAAAAGATTATGTGACTTCCTGCCATAAATCTTTAAGGATGCTATCTCATCCTCCAGTGCAATTTTATACTTTTCCCAGGGATTGGATGTAAGATGACTGGCTCTAAGCTGAAGTAGAACCCTCTCTGGAGATCATTTTGTTGGCAGGAAGACCACTATTATCAGGCCACTGAAGTATAAAAACGCCTCAAGTGTATAACATAAATCAATGCTAATGCCCAAGCATACCTACAGTTATATCACAGGTCCCCTTTCTTGGACATTAATTTCACACATAGCTAAGTAGAAAGCAAAGTATTTTTAAAAGATTTTAGAGTGGTTATTAGGAGACATAATCACTTGATTCTACATAGGCAGATGTTATTAAAACAGAGAAAAGGTGTAGCAGTTCTCAGAACACTGCCTTCAGGTCCCACACAGGGGAACTCCCCACTTTTGTTGTCTCCACAACAGTAAAGGCCAACTCAATCACCACGATCCTTCTACTGAAGGAATCAGGGAAGAAACACAGGAAAGGCGGAAGCAGTGCTGTGTCCAGGCCTGCAGAAGCACGCGCTCTCACTCGCTCACTCTTTCCTTCCCTTTCATATAAAAAAAAACTTTCTAAAAAATTACCTGTGGGGTCAGCATCTTGGTGTAGCTGGTTAAGCTGTCACATGAGATGCCAGCAACCCATATGGGCACCAGTTCATATCCCAGCTGCTCCTTCCAATCAAGCTCTCTGCTAATGTGCCTGGGAAATCAGAGGGAGATGGTCCAACTGCTTGGGCCCCTGAACCCATGTGGGAGACACAGAAGAAGCTCCCAGCTCTTGGTTTTATCCTGGAATGGCCTTTGCTGTTGTGGCCATCTGGGGAGTGACCAAATGGATAGAAATCTCTCTCCCTCCCTCCATCCCTCCCTCTCTCTAACTTTCTCTGCCTTTCAAATAAAATAAATCTTTTTAAAAAATTAACTTCAAAGATCAGTGAAATATTTTAAGCAGTCATACATCAAGAAATTAATGACATTCGATTTAGAATGGCTAATTTTATCAGTTTTGTAAAATGACAAAATTAGAAAAAAGAATTTTTTAAATAAGTTTTACCTTTCTTCAAATAGTATTCTAGTTTTCTCTGTTGAGATCTGTAATAAAAATAATACTAAGTTTAAATATACCAAATATGCATATAAAATGTTTATATTAATCATTCAGAAAAATAATACTCAAAACAATATTTTAATATAACATATTAACATATCAAAATATTTTATGAGATTAACATATCTTATATGCAATTTTATACTTTTATCAGGGATTGGATGAAATAATATTAATAATAATAACAATAAATAATATTTTGGCATTGGAAGAGATATTACCAAAGAGGATCCAGTTCTAAAGTTATATTTTCTACCTAAGAAGAGAAAGGATTTTATGATTTTAGTAAATAAAAATGTTTAAATTTATTTAGAGGCAGGTGTTGTGACACAGAACTTAAGCTGCTGTTTGGGACACTCGCATCTCATATCAGAGTACCTGGGATCAAGTCCCACCTCCACTTCTGATCCAGTTTCCTGCTAATGCATACCCTGAAAAGCAGGAAGTAATAGCCCAAGGTAAACTTCCACCCACAGGGCAGGTCTGGATTCAGCTGCTGGCCCTGGTTTCAGCCTGGTCCAGGCCTGGCTGCTGAGAGCATTTGGAGGAGTGAACCAGAGGACAGATCTCTCTCTCTCTTCCTTATGTGTGTGTCCTACCACTTCTGTCACCATGCCTTTCAAATAAAAAAAAGCTTTAACAAAAAGCTTATCCATTACATAAATATATTATCTCTCTTAACTGACACATATAATTTGTATGTGTGTGTGTGTGTGTGTGTATAAAGCACCATGTGATATTTTGAACACATATACATTATACAATGTTCAAGTAAGGGTAAGCACATCTATTTCATCAAGCATTGTTACTTCTTTGTGCTGAAAGCATTCAAAATCCTTTATTCTAGCTCTTTTGAAATATATAGCTCTGCACACAGTACCAGATTTTTAGTATTTTTAAATATTATTTTGGGAAGGCATAGAAATACATACTGTATCAATCTAATATGGTCCTCTTTTTTGCAACATTTTTAAAGGTTACTGAAAATGTATAAAATGTGTATTTATAAAAAATTAAACATGATTTAGTAAAATTTTCAACAAAATAAGCTTATCTTTTCATCTATTTTTCCATATACTTTTTGATGTATCCTCATATATTTATTGGGGTATGTGATCAAAGTTGTTAGATACTAGTAGCCTCAGAAGTGTGATTTTATTAATAAATTAAGATATTTTCTTATCACATAACTGTTGATTCCAGATTTTATTCCAGCCCAGAATTTCATCTGACTCAGTTTCTTCTATACAGATATTATCTGGCTTTATTCTTATCCTTCTGCAGAAAGACTTACGGATGTTCACCAAACTAGTTTTCATTCTTTCTTGAACATTGCTCTTTTGTTTTTAAGGGACAGGGAAGCAGGGAGAGTCCTGAGACAAATTCGTGTTTTGAGAATTTGGAAGTTTTGTTTTGTTTTGTTTTGTTTTGTTTTGACAGGCAGAATTTAGACAGTGAGAGAGAGAGACAGAGAGAAAGGTCTTCCTTCCATTGGTTCACTCCCCAAATGGCCGCTACGGCCAGCACACTGCGCCCATCCAAAGCAAGGAGCCAGGTGCTTCCTCCTGGTCTCCCATGCGAGTGCAGGGCCCAAGCACTTGGGCCATCCTCCACTGCACTCCCGGGCCACAGCAGAGAGCTGGACTGGAAGAGGAGCAACTGGGACAGAACCGGTGCCCCAAATGGGACTAGAACTGGTGTACTGGCACCGCAGGTGGAGGATTAGCCTAGTGAGCTGCGGCGCTGGCCTGAACATTGCTAATCTAAACATTTTTAAGCTCCATTGCAGTTAAACATGCAAACAAAATATGAAAGAAAATGATGTACAGCACTACCAGCCTGGACAATGAAAATCACTCATGTTTGTCTCCTAATCTTTTCTGGTAGCTGAATGTCTATGCCCAGCGTCATTCAGAAAACCACGTAAAGTGGTAAAGCATAAATACACCAGGATACCTCCCTACCACAAAGTTTGACTTCCAACATCCTTGGACTATTAGCATGTCAAACAGACATCTATTGTGTTTGAGCCATTATACTTTTTATGTCTACATGTCACAGAGTTACCTTATATGTTAACCAATACACTACCAGCATTTATTCACACAGCCAATGCAGACAACTAATAAGAGCTAAATAATGATGCAAGGTAATAACATTTCAAAGTGCCTCATGATATTCTCAGTTCATAAATATTATGTCACTTTACCCTCACAACCATTTTACAATGTATTATCAGTCAAGATAAATTGACCTTGCACATGAGTGTGCATAGTTCCTTACAGGAATAATAGTTCCTGTTCCCCCTCTAATATAGAAAAGACTATCAGTCTGATAAACAGTCTTTAAAAATTTGGGACATGCTCAATCAGACTTGCCCCAAATGGTGGAGTTAGAATCATGCCAGGGGATTCCAATACAATCCCATCAAGGTGGCATGTACTAATGCCATCTCACTGGTCCAAGTGATCAACTTCAGTTCACAAATGATCACACTGATAGGTCTAACAGTCAAAGGGATCACACAAACAAGACTAGTGTCTGCTAATACTAACTGATAGAATAAAAAAGGGAGAGAATGATCCAAGATGGGAAGCGGGATACGCAGCAGACTCATAGAATGGCAGATGTCCTAAATAGCACTCTGGCCTCAGAATCAGCCCTTAAGGCATTCAGATCTGGCTGAAGAGCCTATGAGAGTATTTTAGGCATGGAAAGCCAAGACACTCTGGCAAAAAAAAAAAAACAAACCAAACCTAAATGAAAGATCTCTGCGAGTGAGATCCCAGTGGAAAGAACAGGGCCATCAAAGAAGGAGGTACCTTTCTCTGAAGGGAGGAGAGAACCTCCACTTTGACTATGACCCTGTCTGAATAAGATCAAAGTCAGCAAACCCAAAAGGCTTCCATAGCCTTGGCAACTCATGACTAGAGCCTAGGGAAATTACTGATACCATAAACAAGAGTCTCAAATTGTTAAGTCAACAACAGGAGTCACTGTGTACTTACTTCTTATGTGGGATCTGTCCTTAATGTGTTGTCCAATGTGAAGTAATGCTATAACTAGTACTCAAACAGTATGTTACACTTTGTGTTTCTGTGTGGGTACAAACTGATGAAATCTTAATATATACCAAATCGATCTACTGTATATAAAGATAATTGAAAATGAATCTTGATGTGAATGGAATGGAAGAGGGAGCAGGAGATGGGAGGGGTGCGAGTGGGAGAGAAATTATTGGGTGGGGGAGCCAATGTAATCCATAAACTGTATTTTGGAAATTTATATTTACTAAATTAAAAAAAAGATAAAAAAAATAGGCACAAGTGGCTGGAGGAATTTTAGGCGCTGAGGCTTTGAGGCTCAGGTAGCTACATGAAAAGATGAGAAGCTTAGCTTCATTAACATGGAAACTTGCCAAGGCTTAGAGCAATGACCAGAGCCCCCATGCCACACCTACCACAGACCTCCTGGTTTTCACTGAAAGGGTAGACATTCAAGGAAGCTACAGAAGCATAGCCCCCAAAATAAAAGTCAACATAAGAAAAACTTAAAAATCAGCCCCACAAATGCCAAAAAATAAGAGCTAAAATTGAAGAAACAAGAATAAGGAAGTCACCATGAACCCCCAGAGGAACACAGCATTTCAATGTTAGAATGCAAACATGAAGAGATCGAAGAAATGCCAAAAACAGAATTTAGAAAATTAATCATAGGATTACTCAAAAAAATCAGAAACAAATCCGTGAAATAAAGAAAACCATACAACACATGAACAAAAAATTTTCCCTGGAAATCGAGAATATAGAGAGAAATCAAAATGAAACTTTGGAAATGAATAATTCAGTGGATCAAATAAAAATGCTTAACAGCCGATACGATAAGACAGGAGAAAGAATAGCAGAACCGGAAGAAAATCTTTGGAAATCTTATAGTCTGACCACAAAAAGAAGAAAATAGAAAACTTAAAAACAGTGTTGTAAACCTATGGGATACTCTCAAATGATTAAACATTATGGTTCTTAGGAGTGCCTTAAGGAGTGGAAAGAGAGAAGTGAATAAAAAGCCTATTCCTAGGCCGGCACCGCAGCTCACTAGGCTAATCCTCTGCCTTGCGGCGCCGGCACACCGGGTTCTAGTCCCGGTCGGGGCACCGGATTCTGTCCCGGTTGCCCCTCTTCCAGGCCAGCTCTCTGCTGTGGCCGGGGAGTGCAGTGGAGGATGCTCAAGTCCTTGGGCCCTGTACCCCATGGGAGACCAGGAGAAGCACCTGGCTCCTGGCTTTGGATCAGCGTGGCACGCCGGCTGCAGTGCGCCGGCTGCAGCAGCCATTGGAGGGTGAACCAACGGGAAGACCTTTCTCTCTGTTTCTCTCTCTCACTGTCCACTTTGCCTGTCAAAAAAAATATTAAATAAAAAAAAAAAAAAAAAAGCCTATTCCTAAAGTTGTACTTATGAAATTTGTATTCCTTAAAAATAAATTAAAACAAAAAGAAAGCCTATTTAGTGAAATAACTACAAAAAATATCCCCAGTTTGGGGAAAGAAAGGGATGCTCAAACAAAGAAAGCACACAGAGTTGCTAACAGATATGAACAGAAAAGATCTTCACCACAACATATTGTAGTCAAACTTTCCACAATAAAATATAAAGAAAAGATTCTAAAATGGGCACAAGAAAAACACCATATTACTTTCAGAGGGCTGTCAGACTCACAGCTGACTTCTCTTCAGAAACCCTACAGGCTAGAAAGAATGATGAGATATAGTTGAAGTCTTAAAAAAAGCTGTCAACCAAGAATACTGTATGCAGCAAAGTTTGAATTCATGAATTAAAGTAAAATAAAGGCCTTCTATAACAAACAAAAGAATTTGGCGACATTTCTCCAGCCCTACAGAAGATGCTTAAGGATGAACTACACAGGGAACAAACCGTTGAAATCCTTACTTAAGGTATACTAAGCTGATCTTCTGTATATTAAGAT